TCACTCTCTCCCTTGACATAGTTCCCGCCTAAATCATCACATTTACTGCCACTCATGGATAAAGCTAGACCAGAACAATTTCTGCATCATCTGGATAAGGCCAATCCAATGAATGTTATCATCTTTTGGGTTACACTATTCTAAAAGTACTACAGTATACCGTTCAACTGTACTGTAAGAGTACAGTATTAAGCATTTTCAATCGCGAACGCAAATGTGCCAATGGAAACAGCAGTGTACATTTCAATGTGACCTATTTTTCATGCTAACGCAACCACTAACGCGCGAATGGAATTCTAGCTTAAGCCTAAGGGAAGATGAGCAGGAACAGGACACATTCATGGCTAAACATTACACTAAAATGTAGGGCAAGTGTGGGCGACTCATGACACTGATGGAGCTACGGTCTAGTCCAGTTTATGATTCTGAAGTACCCTGAGCTGAACATTTTAATTCAAATTAAATATTGCACTCTCAGTATCAGACTGTTCCATGCTATTAACTCAAGTGTAGATGTATGATAACCCCCAAACTCGAGGCTTAATGACAATAAGGCGGGAGGGACTTGTTGACTTGTTACCTTGTACACTCATGCATCATTGTTGTGACAGCAAACTGTTACATTATTACCCTCAACAGGCTAAACCTTACACAAAGTCACCTAACATAACATAACACCTAACATAAGTTTATATACAGTGGCCAAGTAAACGTAAATTAGTCAGTACAATACAGTACGCTGAAAATACAGGTACACAAAAAGTTACCACCCCTTATAAATATCTGTACTGTACTTATTAACGAAGCTTTACTTCACATCGCAGCTGCAGTGGAAACATGGCATACAGTACTAGTTTGTGCGAAGCACAGCCATACTGTTTTGGCAGACAGGTTGACCTTCTGTTGTCTCTGACTCTCCTGCCTATAAAGCATCCTCTTGATAAGTCTGATCCTATTGTTTGATGTTTCTCACCATGAAAACAACAACACCCACTGCTAGTTGCACACTTCCTTTTTCCTTCTCTTGATATTTTTTCTCATATCACTTCAGAGCATCTTCTATTACCCTAATCACTTTGGAACTCATTTCTCATTTAGAGGCGTCATCCCCCACTGAAAATTTGTAATCCATCATTAATCACCTGAAATGCTTGAACCATGAATTTCCTTGTGAAATATCGACCAGGTGTTTCTCTTTCATACTTATTCACGTCTTTAAATTGCTCTCTGTATTTCTAATTGTTTTGTTCTTTATTAGTTAGCTTTTGTGGATGGGATCCAAGAACTAGTGAAACATAAGCTTCTTCAATTTCATTGTACTGTAGTGTACAGTACATATACACTCTCAACAAAAACTTCTCGAACACCTGGACACGATAGATGTGAAACTGAGCAGAAAGGGGCTTGTCGTCTCGGAATGGTTTCAGATTGCATAGTGCTAATAGCATTCGAGAAGTTTTTGGTGAGAGTGAACATGTTCATGTATCCTACTTCCTTGGATAGGTTGTTTATTTCCTTCTTCACAATGAGGATGACAGCTTTAATACCTCCGAAGCTGTAAACACATCCCATATTAACTTCCCTCACACGTCATTCATACACTCCTGGGTAACCTCAGCCCTCTTTCTTCCCTTTCTCTCCGTCGCAATGCTGCTTCACTCTCTCTCTTTTACAGGTACTTTAACGGGCAATGATCGGTGGATTTGGCATCCTGTGTACTGCCAGCAAGGCCGCGGCCTCGTACCAATCATCTTGCCCGCGGTGTCCACCGTTTCTCTGTGTATGTCGGTCTCACTTGAGTAACCCGTTTTAGTACATCCTTTTTTCCTCACACAGCCAAGCTGTGGAATGCTCTGCCTTCTTTTGTGTTTCCACACTCATACAATGTTTCACTTCAAAAAGCTGGTTTTCCGGCATAATCGTGGTGTAGATTAATATAATCCTTTTCTTTTCTATTTTTAATTTATTTTTACTCTTATTTTTTTGCCCCCTAGGCCCCGTTGTGGGTCAATGACCTGTGCCCGGGTAGCCTATTCCACGTAAAAAAAAAAAAAATTACCAAAATTCTCTCACAGAAGGCTTGTCTTTCCCCATCCGTGGATCAATGAGTTGACACAGGAATTATTGATGAAGGTAATAGCATAGGTCTTATGGACAATGATGACTCCTTGGCCAGTGGTTACTGGGTAACAAGAATGAAGTTATATTTGGATAGAAATACAACTTAAACATTAAGAAACAGGTCACTGAGACTGATAATGAGCTGAAGCATTATCTTTTGCAGTACAGTGTACAGTTTACAGTATTAATAAAATATTGAAACCAAGTTTTTTCACCTCGGAAAAAAAAATACTGTACTGTAGTTACATACCAATTCAGTAGTAACAAACGATGGTCAATGACACTAAGGTATCTATACCCTGTATAATGAAACATTGGTGCTAAGCAAATACCTTCCATAATTTATTTGCAAAATATGAACAAGATGGTAAGTGGCACACCAAATTAAGGCACACCAAATAGCTTACCAGTAATATTTTTTATATATCATGTTTCTTCAGAAAAATATATCAAGTTTAAAAACTTCAATATAAATGAAACAGATATCAAGAGTCATTATACAGGCTGGACCTCGCTAATCCGGGAAGCTTGGGACCAGACCGGTTCCGGATTACCGAAAATTCCAAACCAACGAAGCCGAGTTAAAAAATAAAGGCAAAATAATGCATAAAATGTACTATTACCAGCACCAATACAGGTTACATCAGCATAAATCTAACCCAGGCTTACTGGAACTCTTTATGACAAAGTGTTAGTGCAATGGCACAAGTTTACTGTACTGTGACACAGAAATAAGTAGATTATCAAAAAAACAGAGAGAAAATTGTATATTATAGGCCTACTGATACCTGTCCCGAACCATCAAAGCTGTCTGACTATCGGGTCCTGGATTAACGAAGTCCAACCTGAACTGTATATATATACAACACAAATCAAATCTGCTTTTGGAATTACTGTAACTGTGGGGACCCATTGTGGTTCCAAATAAAAATTTCTGCTATGGAATAAAACAAACCTTTACCTTTCCCTCTACTTCAAAGCCCTGCATGCTTTGGAGAATCCAAATTGTAGGTAGTGGGGGGAGTTATTTTCATAACTGATCATTTTTGACAGAAATGAAAGTCAAATTCAATTAAAACATGATGAAAGATAAAAAAAATTTATATATTTTAGTTAGTAACTTGTGGATGTGCACAATCGAATCATTACCTACATGATTTTTCCAATACAAGTACTGTATACAGTACTGTAACTTAACATCTGGCTATGTAGCTACCAGGAATTCCCAGCTAGTAGACACTTCCAGGTTAATTTATGTTAAATATGGTAGGTTTGGTTAGGTATGGCATGGAAAGGTCTATCAGAAGGGTAGCTAATAGTAGAGCAGAGAGCTAACACCAGTAGTTCAATTATGTTCCTTTTTTCCACACATGTTCTTTGGATAACAATAACTATAAAAATGAAGACAACTTTTTATTTTAATTATAAGTATTTATTTATTTGTTTTTATAAAATTGCAAATTACAGCAACCAAAGAATCTGATAAAAAAATGGTGTTACCAAACCTAATGAAATACTGTATAAGAAAATTATCATAGAAAAATAGTTCTATCGATTGAGTGTAGTGAATTTCCGGAATTCTGTTGTTGCTGTTTACTGCAATATTGCTTTTTTTTTTCTATCTACAATCATAAATCACCTGTAGTGGGCAGGGTATGAAGGATGAGGGAAATTGTGGGGTAAAACATGGTGAAAAACTGATCATATGTCATTAAAAATGATGTCTGCACATGCTTTGTATGTGAAGAAATTAATTAGTTACAGTAAATATTCCTTCAAAAAATCTGCGGTGTTGGTGCGTGTCATCTCTCTTTGTTTCTGTGCAACAACCAAGCCACTCAGTCCAAGTGTAATCTTACATCCACATAAAAACATAAAATTACACCAACCCACTGCAAGAAAATTGCTTTCATTAGCACCAGATATGAAAGTATGTACTTTGTGTTTAATATGGCAGGTGGGTCTGGGGGGGACAGAGCCCCCTGGCTTAGAAGTTAAGTAGGTTTATTTGGTTGGTTAGGTTCTTTGGCTCTGTACATTGTCATATAATTTTTATTACCCATTAACATCCAAAGAACATGTGGACATAATGAATGTAATCGAACAACTCCTGGTGTTAGCCACCTGCTACAGGACTACCATCAGAAGCATTTGTCAATAGATGATGGAAAGTATTTACTTATACCGAATATCCTAAAAAAAAAAAATTAACTTTGAACTCACCCATTTATAGCGCAGCCCGTCAGCCAGAGAACCACCTATGAGCCAAAGTACACACTAGGTCTATCAGTCACGGAACCACCGATCAAAAGCTTCCTTGCAACTGACCAATTGGGAATTCAGACAAACTGGGTTTAACATTGATTTACAACTAACAATGAATGATAAGCGACATATTAACCCATGTCTGTATGGAATGGATAACATGTTCATCGGCCACCAGGGGTAGGGCTTTTGTTATGGGTAAGTGTGTTTAGCGTAAACTCACAATTTAACTTTTGAGGATCTATGCATATACAGCACTGTAACAAATACTTTGAAAAACTAAATTACGAAATTTTAATTTTTTCCACCATTCAGGGGATATCTTTGAGGTAAAAAATAAGTTTTCCTCCACAGAATATTTTTCTAAAATTGCCAGTTAATACGAATCAGTGTTCCAGAGTATTAAACCAAGTGTGAGCTTCAAGTCCGGGCTTGACCAACACTGCCACATGTTCAGGTTGTCAAAGAGTCTGCTCATGTCCAGTCCTAGTCAACAGTGTGTAACAGAAAACAGACCGACCAGCTAGTAAAGCTGATGAGTAGTGAAGAGGATAAAGTAAAGTAACTGGATAAGAAGCTGTTGTAAAGAGCGAGTTTCCAATCTTAACTCTTACCTCCATAGCCTGTCCCAGCTCCAGATCAAATGTGACGACACATATCGCATGGACCCAACGGCTGAAATTATCCCACGGCAAGAGAGGAGTATCCTTTTCATCATTAGGCGACATATTATACTAAATTCCACTCGTTGAGAGGAACGCCTTACATGCCTCTCGTCCTCACCACCGTAAACAAAACACTGACTGAGAGGAGTGTTGTGTTCCTCTACTCACAGGTGGCGCGAAGTGTGTGACGTCATAATACGTTTTCTCCTGCTAGGTTTACAGTAATACACTAAATATTTACCTTTATTGTACAAACAGGTAGTAAAATTCAATTGTCAGTAGGAACATTATAGAATCCAGTCTCATTAAACATACCGAATCTGTCAATATGAAGTTGAGTAATGGTATGTACAAACTGGATAATTTTGTGATTAAGAAGATTTGTAACCAGGAGAAGGTTGGGTCATCTTTCCCTATGACCTGACTACGGACAGCTGCTGTGCTTAAGAGATGGCATGGTCAATTTCTTTGGATTAAGAAGATTAGTAAGGGTCACTGCCTTATGACCGGAACATTGTGATTTGTGGACCCCTGTGACCGATCGCCCAAGCGGCTACCGAGCCGATCAGTGGTGAAGAGGATAAAAGTAAGTTAGAAAGCATTAGGGTGGTTAATATTCAGGTGAAGTAAGCTAGGTACTGTATCTAATTATCAGGTGATCTGTTCAGAGTACAGTACTGTATTAAAATTTTATATATTAAATACAGAGCTGTTATTGATAAGGAATCTTATTACAGGTACTATACTGTATCAGTATATTGTAGTACCATATCACTTTTTAGATTGTCTAAAAAGAAAATGCATACAGGGTATACTATAAGCAAATAGATAATAGGGTATTTATAGTTTACTGTATGTTTATGTAATATGATAATATGGGTAGTTTTGTAGACCTTCGGCCTGTTACTAGATAAAGAGTGATAAGTCAATGGGCTTATAAGTAAGATTAGAGAGGTTGTGCTCTCTTGTTGCTGAGCTTTTAGTACAGTACCTGTATGTGGTGATCAAGTTTCTCTTGAGAAGGGTAAGTCATTTTATATTTTTCAAAATATGACTAAACGTATTAGTAATATGTTGACTGTTACTAATATGTTTAGCTCTTATTGCAGATGAGGGACCTAGGGATCACAGTTAATATTTGCAGGGGCCCAGGGATCACATATAATATTTCCAGGGGCCCAGGGATCACATATAATATTTCCAGGGGCCCAGGGATCACAGTTAATATTTCCAGGGGCCCAGGGATCACATATAATATTTCCAGGGGCCCAGGGATCACATAATATATTTCCAGGAGCCCAGGGATCACAAACAATATTTCCAGGGGCCCAGGGATCACATATAATATTTCCAGGGGCCCAGGGATCACAGTCAGGTTTTAGAAGGGACCCATATTCTAACACTAGAATCTTATGGACAATTTAGTTACACTGGCTGACACAGCTGTGTTATGAGCTGCAGTTTATGCATGCAAATAACTAATGACTCTCCCAGCCTTTATTAATCAAGATGATCCCCTTCTGCTTGGATACTGTCATGAGTGTCGTCCCAGTTAGCAGACTAAAATTCTACACTGCATGACACATTATCAGATTAGTATCACTGAAAGACACACATTATCAGATTAGTTTGCAGTACAATAAAGAAAATCTGAAAGGCCAAGTGTGGTCATTCAGGAACATAATAATTAAAGTCTCTATCTCCATATGTCAGCTAAAAGATAAGTTATTATGGATGACAAGGTAATATTCAATGAGTGTGATTCTGTGTGGTCAATTTTCAATACTCTGAACTTTGTCTGGGTGTTGTTAGAGCCGATTAGGTACAACCTATGAAATATATTACACTATCAATATTCTCCACAGTCAGTAATGTTCAAAACTAAGAACTACAATAACTTTACCTCATACAGTATAGGTACAATGAAAACAAAAACAAAAGGCTAACTTTAAAAATACTGTACATTTATGAATCCTCAAGCCAAATATTAAAAGTTTTCTTAATGTGATTCTCTATAACTTTTCTTTTAGCTGACTTATGGAGACAGAGACTTTAGTAAGCAAGTATCTGTACTCTATGCTGTAAAGGATATGAAAATTAAGTAAGAGTAGAGTACAGTTATTTCCCATGTATTTGTACTAACACTGTTATTAACTCTTTTCACACTAAAAGTCAAATGATAAATGGAGCATATCTGTTCACACAATATTTTCCAACTTACAGACACCTTATATCATTTTATAAACATCTTCATTATAATGATGTAATTTATGTCTACTCTGAAGAAAGGAGTTACCCCCAAGAGTCAAGATATTCAATGACTGATAACATTTTATTTCTAAATGAGATAATTTCTGAATATAATATTGCTTCAGATACATTGACTGAGTTAGTTAGTTATTTGAAAGTTCCATTTATGCTGAGGCAAACTTTATATCATATACAGTACAATATTATATGCCTAGGTCATATTTTATAAATTAATTGCAGGTGATGAGAGTATAGTATTGGGTTCAGAAATGGATCTAAAACAGCGCATTGCACGGTGGATGGAAGACCACCGTGGCCTCATTGTGGTGTTGGTAGTTCTTCCTCTCTCCCTTATCTTTGATGCTCTCATACAACTAAGACTTTGGATCATCCGCAAATTTATCTCTGCTCCTGAAAAACATGATGAACGAGTTAGAACAATTCAGAGTCAGGTAACTATACTAAGATCAATGTTCAATTGGTCATCTGAAGTGTGTAAAATATTAAAGAGGGTCCCATAGGCCTGACAGCCCATTAAAAGTGGAGTGGATACTTTACTATAAACTGAATAGCGTACAGGAACCTCTCAATTTGCTTGATAATTACATTCATGAAAATGGTCGTAAAAAAAAATGTATATATATATATATAAATCAAACAATGTAAATAATGGAGATTAGGGGGTTTCATTATTAAGACAATATACTGTACCCAGTATTACACCAGTGAAAAACTACAGTATACACATACCAGGAAATATAAAATACAGTACTCTGGGTCTTTGCTTGTATCACAAGCATGTTGATGGTAACATTTTAGTGAGTTTGGTGTTCGATCCATGTGCTCAACATTCCTTCTATTCTCTCCATAATTGAACGTCAGGAATGCAAGGATTTTGATGCACTGATTATATGTCCACTTTTGGAACTTTCCTTGATCTTCTCTGCATTATCATTGATAGTCTGTAAAGTAGAATTATTAACTTCAAGGGCATGTGTAATATCAGCTGTTTGCCTACGTCTCATAATGTTTGAGCACATTCATCTTAATCTCAATGATGATGGCCTTATGCTTCTAACACCACTGGTACCAGGAGAACTTAACGGGTGCTTTGGTGGCATGATGCAAGGGGCAAAACACATGCAATACTGTACATTATACAGTACAGTATACTATAGCACAAAATACTGTAGCACTCCGTTACTATACTGTATACAGTACTGTATCCGTGCACTAAGGACTGCAAGGCGGCAAACTGCATACCCACTATGTGTACACACGCTTCTCGTATGGCACTGGCACTGCAACACCATCGTGCTGCTAGCCCAATGATAATGTTTGTCAGTTGCCTGATTATTCCAAACATAAATTTAAAAAAAGTGTAAATAAACCATGTGCATTACAGTATTCTAAAAATTGAAAGGTTCCTGTATTAGCCTTTGGTATGCAAGGATGAATGTGGCTGGCACTGCACTCAACTGCTTCCACTTTTAATTCTTTATTTTTTTTAATAATTTCACCACTTACCAGCTGTTTGGGAGGTTGGTACAGGAGGAAACCAGAGACCAGGAAACTTGTGAAATTTGATAGGGTCACACTAGATAACACCCTTTTCAAAATGTGTCCGGACCAAGCAGGAATCGAACCCTTAACATATTGGCGAAAGATAAGCACATTACCGCTGTATCGTATCACCAACACTTCCCAACCATAAATTTAGGTACCCATTTGGCCTTAGGTGCAGACCATTAATTCATGTCAGGAAGCAAATGCTGTACAGTATCCACTTACCCATTGGGTCCCTAAATTATTTTTGTTTGTACTGAACATAAAATATTGAATATTATACTGTATTATAAAATAAAAATTTTTAATGAAGGATGGCGCTAACGCTACACTGTATATGAATGTAACAAGTGATTACAATTTGTCTGAGAATAGATAAGCCTTTATTATTTTAGTATTTTATTTATCATATTGGTACAGAGTATATCACAATTTTGCCCTGTTGGTTTTCATAAAATTTGGACACATTAATTAATATTTCAGAACTGAAATTTTACATATTTCAGGTATTGAGATGGAATAAACATCCAAAGGCAGAAAGAAAACTGATGTGCACAGCCCGTCCAAATTGGCAGTCTTTGTCCACAACTTTTTTCAGGAAGGTTGGTTAAAAATATGTAAAAAATGTATCAAGTGCTTCATTTATCAGGGTTGACAAGCATTGCTCAAGATAATTATAAAGTATGTACAGTATTTACATTGATAATTATTATTAATCAGTCAAGATTCACAACCACATCTCTCCACTTCAAAAGTTTTTGTTACCTGCTCTTGCTTATTCGACTTTTATACTGTAGTTACTTTTTTTGTCAGTGTTTAACATTCATCACAAATGCTTCAAAGGCCTAATGTAATAGAAGTTACAGAAAGAGAGAAAGACAGATGAATAAAAAACATTTACCAGTAGGTAATCTTTATTTTATAATGTCAGTCTTTTCTTGTGTCCATTCTTTCTAACTTACCCTCATGTACAGTATGTGCTTGCTGAAGCAGCCTCCATGTTTAAACCTGTCTATTTTTCTTTTCACCAATTTTCAACAACTTTACTGAAGTGAGAACCAAACCAGCTTGCAGGATTTTTCTGCCAGTGTTTTAGGAGTTGTTAGTCCTATATCTCTTATGGACTATATTTTATGGAATTGATGAATGCAATATAATTTGATCTTACAGGATTTGTGTCACAAGATCAGCATTCCCTTATATGACATCCTAGAACTGAGAGAGTCCCACATGACCATCCGAGTGGAGCCCATGGTGAGCGTAGGTCAGGCCACAGCTTTCTTAGTGCCCCGAGGCTATACTCTGGCTGTGTGCCTGGAGGTTGCAGAAGCTACCTTAGGGGGCCTGGCTATGGGTGTTGGGATGACCACATATTCACACAAAGTAAGCATCATTAGATTTTCATGTAACCAGTACTGTATAACTGAAAAGGCTTTTAAAAATAGAACTTTCTTCAAATACAGTATTTTGAATAACAGTGTAAGTCAGGCACCACTAACATTTATGTAGTATTTTAAGAGGTTTTTATCTTCAATACAGGTAACCCGATTTACGTAATTTTGCTTTAATAATGTTGATGTCTTAAGACCATCTCCCTATTTAAGATTAAAAAATTGCATGAACAATGGTCATTGTCTGGCCAAAGTGGCTGACACACAGAATATGGAATGCATCTCTCACTGAACTTGTCATCTGCAGCATCATCTACCCACGTGCTACCACGCTACCACCTGGTGCACTATAGTCCTGCACTTTGTTCCATGGTGATCACATCTGCCTGTGATCATGTAACTCAGTTTTGTTGTTGTTACTTATCATCGATTTTTTTCCCCATTCAGTGAGAGGACATCACTAATGTCACTAACAGATTGTACTCTGTTTTGGTGACAGTGAAGTGACTTTTGCTGTCTAGGGTTAAAGCAGTTTTGGAATAGTGTATGGGTATTTTATTTGCCTCTGGAACCAAACTAATTATTTCCATTTAAATAAATTAGACTATAAGTTTCAATTTGATAATTCATGGTGTTTTCTGGTGGCTATCTAACCCACAAGTTATTGAGACTTCACTGTACAATACTTAATTCCTTCATACCTGAGGGATTTTGTAACTTAAACTACATACAGTATTGTATTTGTGTAAGATTCCTTGTTTATATGAAAACCTTTCCAGCACATACCTTGTAATACTATACAAAATTGTTATTACCTCAGGTGAAGGTACAGTACAGACAAGGTGGAGTGTAGAGATAAGTTCCTGTTAATACAGTACTGTGATACAGCAATCTGTATTTGGAATTCTTAAAAATAAATTGGATAATTTTGTTCTGTTTTATGTTGGTAAATTTCTCACCTAGACAAAGTTTTTCTTGTCATATAAGTACAGTTGTACAGGTGGTGTACTTGAAAACTTTGCTTTAATTGATCGATTACTGTGGACAATCTTAAATGGTGATCAATTACCTGTACTACTTATCACATCAGTCAAAATTTACACACCCTATCCATCCCATATGGCGAGTGGAATTTTGAATAGAGGCTAAGGTCCGGGTGATTCTACATTTAGGTGAGATGTAGAATGAGAGGTGTGTTTGTGTGCTGATTTGGATATTCTCAACACTGTCATGACAAAAACCTGCAGAGAAACACTCGGTCAGATCGAAAGAATACATCAGGACTGGTTTGATGAAAATGACCCAGTAATCAATGCACTCATCAATGATAAACGTGCTGCTTTAACTTCCTGGCAGAACAACCCTCAGTCTCGGACCAAAGCTGATACCTTCTGCAAGAAGAAAGCTGCGGCCCAGCGGGAACTTTGCAATCTAAAGAATGACTGGCTTAAAAATGAAGCACATGAAACATAAAAATTTGCAGATCAGCACAAGATGTGAAATTTTTCAATTCCACCAAAACATTTTATGGGCCAATAACTCTTGGTGCAGCCCCCTCCGCTCATCCGACTGTAACTCCATAATTAAAGACGATGAAGGCCTCCTTCAGCGCTGGAAAGCGTACTACCATTCACTGCTCAGCCGAAACACTGATGTGGATGTCCTGACTACCCAATAGGTCCCTCAGCATCCAGAGCTGACCCACCTCAGCTATCCTCCATCCCTGGATGAGGTAGTTACTGCCATTAAACAGATGAAAAATAACGAAGCCTCAGGGCCTCATGGAATCCCAGTCGAGGTGTATAAAGCAGGAGGACCTCTGCTACCAGCCGTCTCCATTCTCTCCTGGAGAATACATGGGAAAAGGAGGAAATCCCCCAAGCTCTTAAAAACGCCTCCATCGTCAATATTTATAAGAACGAGGAAGACTGGTCAGACTGTTGCAACTACCGCGGGATCTCGCTGGTGTCCGTAGCTGGCAAGATTATTGCCCGAGTCCTCCTAAACAGACCTCTTCCTGAGACGGAAAACGTCCTCCCAGAATCTGAATGTGGCTTTAGATCATCATGTGGCATTACTGACATGATCTTTGCTGCCCACTAGATACAGGAAAAGTGCAGAGAACAGGACCCTGACCTGTACAAGGCTTTCATCGACCTAACCAAGGCCTTCAACTCCGTCAACAGGGAAGCCGTCTAGTGGACCTTCAGCTGTTTTGGCTGCCCCCAAAAATTTATTGCCATTGTGAGGCAACTCCACAATGGCATGAATGGCAATGTCCTGCACAATGGCACCCAGTCTGAGTTCTTCACCATCCAAACGAGGGTTAAACAAGGGTGTGTACTGGCACCAACTTTCTTTTCCATTTTCTTGGCTGCCTTCCTTACCCATGCCAGTGCCAATTCAGCCGGCGGGGTGGGCATTGAGTACCAGGTGAAGGGGGGTCTTTTCAACATAAGATGACTCCAGGCAAGAAAAATGTGTCGGCAACTTCCATTGCTGAACTTCAGTATGCAGACGACCTCACCCTTGTTGCTCACTCTGAACACGACCTACAGAAGGTCCTGAACACCTACGCATATGCGTATGCACACTTCAGCCTTGAGGTGAATATACAGTCGGGGTCAAATGTCTTGAACACTTAGCAATATCTGGCATCTACTTCTGAGTTATACATATATGATTGGGATATACTGTACTATTAACACTACTTGTCATCACATATTATGCCTGAACCACAAAATAGAATAAAACTCTCATTAATATCTAAGATCTTCGGGTACTTACATGCCAAATACTGTCAAGTGTTCAAGACTTTTGACCCCGACTGTACAATAGGTAAGACATATTCTCTTTCAACCTGCCCCTGGTTCAGACACACATCCATTCACCTTAATGGTACTACCCTCTCCCACTTTCGGTATCTCAGCTCCCACCTGTCCACCACCGAGGACATCAATGAAGAGATTCAGCATCAGATCAGATGTGCATTTCAAGCCTCTGGCAGACTCCGAAACCGTGTCTTCAGCTGTAGGGAGCTGAAATTATCTACAAAGTTACACGTATATTGAGCAGTGGTCCTCTCTACCCTGCTATATGGCAGCAAGACATGAGTCACATCCAGGAGGTACCTCAAGGCACTTGAAAACTTTCACCAATGTAGTTTACATTCCATCCACCGAGTTCACTGGGAAGACAAGAGAACAAATGCACGTATTCTTGCTGACATCAACTGTAGGAGCATCGAGGCTACCATTATCCATGAACAACTATGCTGGACTGGCCATGTTACCCGCATGGTCGACAGTAGACTGCCAAAGCAGCTATTTTACAGTCATGTAATGAATAGTAAATGTAACGCTGGCGGGCAACTGAAAAGGTACAAGGAGAGTCTAAAGACAAACCTAAAAAACTGCCAAATTGATTCCCCTCACCTGGGAGACGATTACTCCACATCGTAACGCTTGGAGGAACACCACACGAGAAGGTGTCAATACTTTCAAGTTAGCCCGCCTGCAAACCGAGGCAGACAAGCGTCAATGCCGGAAAGACGCTGCTGCTGCCCATCTCGCAGTAGATGGAGCCATCCACATGTGCAACTTCTGTGATCGACTCTGCTGGTCCCGTATCGGCCTCTTTAATCACCTTAAAACTCGCCAATGAAGGTGACATCCTTAATAACTCATATCATTGTATCATAGCTGGAGGATCGTCATACTTGATTCCGAGTGACAGCAAAGTAGTAGTAGTACACCTTTTCACATATCCGTTGAGACATTGTTACATAACTATTTGCCAAATTTCATAACCGAATGACAGAACACATATTGAATGACAATCTAAAATAACTGTTGGTGGTATGTCATTCTCCAATTGTTACATTCTCAAACTATATGTAGACTGTCGGTTTATTGTTCACGTCTGTCGACTTCATAACTTATGTCAGTCACTTCCGTTAGCATGAACGAACAGTTACAGTAACAATGTTTCAACGTATATGTGAAAAGGTGTAGTAGTGTGTGTGTGTGTGTGTCATACCAAGATATTTTATGCTTTTGACCCTTGGAAGAAATACCTTTTCCACTTTACTTGCAGGGACCATTGTAATGCTATAATAACAGAAACTTAGGAAAATATAAATGAAAATTCAACATCACCATGTAAGAAGTATGGAGAAACAAACAATGTCACAGGTAGGGATACATTCTGGAACCAGTGCATGCCCAGTTTTTGCTAACATTCCATAACAAAGACGTGACTGACCACCCAAGCAGCTAATGAGTTGATCAGTGGTAAAGAGGATAAAGTAAAATTAAACTAAAAGCCACACAAATCTGGTTATTAGCCTAGGCCCTACACTTAAGTTTTGTCAACACAGGATCCAACCCCACACAAGTGACACATTTTATCAAAGATGGGGGATAAAAATTCATTCAAGTTTTCTTGTTTTTCCATTTTTTTTTACTGTTACTATCCACCTTGTCATTGTGGCTGATCCTAATTCATTGCTTTCATCATGAGATATCAAGTACAGTATTGTAAAAACATGAACAAGTGCTTTGTATTAGGTTAGGTACACTAGAAACCAAAATTATTTTGTGAATGCTCAAAGAGTTAATGTTGGTCTTGAAACTTTTTATCTTCTACTGCTGTGTATGAATAAAATAATTTAGGAAGAATTTCACATTTCAGGTTTTTATTTACATTTAAGGTTGGTGGCTACCGAGTTCTTAAATTCTAGTGACCGAATGAAAAAAGTAATGTGCTGTACTGTACTTAATTTTGTTTTATTTCCAGATTGGACTGTATCAAGAGGGTATAGTGGCTTATGAGGTGGTTCTGGCAGATGGTTCGCTGGTTAAAGCCACCAAAGACAATGAATACAGTGACCTTTATTACACATTGCCCTGGTCACATGGCACACTTGGGTTCCTAGTAGAGCTGGAGCTAAAAATTATTAAGATAAAGGTGAGTTGACACACTTTGAGTCATAGTTTGGATGATGTTGCAGTTAAACAGCAAAAGTAAGATACATCTGAGTACAGTGGTCCCTCGGTTAACGAGCACAATTCGTTTCAGCATGTTGCTCGTTAACTGAAAAACTCTTTAACCGAAACCATTGTTTCAATGGGTTTTTGGGTAATTGGTTCCAGCTCACAGAAAATTGCCTAAATTCAACAAAAAATGTAGAAAAGCACACTTACTTTGAGATGGGTATGTAGAAGGCTCCTGGATGATGATGATGATGATGATGGGAATTAGAATGGGGGTGGAGGAGAAGGGAGAAGAGAAGGCATTGGGGTGGAAGAGAAGTCACCCCATGGTGCCATTTCACCCATAAAATTTTAGTTCTCTTGGTGTAATTCAAGATTATTTTCTTTAAATCAACACTGCACTGCATTATATATTGTCAATATGTAAAATAAATTTCAAAATGACCAATAATTTGCTTGGAAACACAGAAAAAAGCATTTAGTTGAAGAGAGTCTCAAGCAATATGTTACCTTCACTGAAAAGAGAGATAGACTAACGCCTGTTTGTGTGCTAACAGGCTGGATGGCGTGCCAGAAACTAGTTTCTTTACCTTCAATTATGTTCAATAATTGTTAAAATGACTAAAAAATATTAATACTCTGTATTAAACTTTTAAAATTATTGAATAGTATAAACTTCTTGATATTTACTAAAATAGTAAGAAATTTAAGCCCTAAAACCGATTACTGTATTGGTGGACTAATACTACAGCTGGTGGACCGCCAAATGCAAGTGAAAACATGTTGAGGTCGGCTTGTAAAAAACTCGTTAATCGAGGGATTGCTCGTTAACCGAAGTTAAGAATCTTAAGGAAGGTAACTCGTTTACCAAAATCACGTTAACCGAGGCGCTCGTTAACCGAGGGATCACTGTACAGGTATTAAGAAACTGCTAAATCAGGCAGCGTTTTATATTTGGGCAATTATTACTTTTTTTAATTTGACTAAATCTTCTCATTTAAGAGTACTGTACTGTACTAAGAATAAGGTTACAGGTTTTATCAGAAAATAAATTCTGAAATTATATTGAATAATAAAATTGATTGCAATTTCTTAGCTATAACAATACTTATTGAATTCTGACTTATGTATGTTTTTTGTGTATTGATTATACTGTAGTACATGATGCCACAGTTAATGTACCATAAGACATATAAATACCCCCGAGATGCTAATGTAAAAACAGTAATTATATCTTATTACTACAAATAAATGCAACTGGCTTGAACATAATTTTTGTGGATACTGTACTGTATAATATTATGTTAAGAGTGAATGAATAATTTCAGCCTCATCTTAAACTGGAATATATCCCAGTCAAAGGCCAAAAGCAGTATTGTGACATGATGCGGGATTTGTCTGGAGCATTAGACAAAAATCGCCCCACTCCTGATTATCTGGAGGCTACTGTTTACAACAGAGAAGAAGCTGTTATTATGGTTGGGAATTTTGCTGATGTACCAGATACTGAACAACATAAGGTAATTATACATTAATTGAAGAAAAGCTCTCAAGGATCATGTTTTAGGATCTTCAATGGTGTATAATTTTTCCGTGTTTCTTAAAGCTTAGCAGCCCTTCTCCTTTTTTTATTTTATTTTTATTATACTATCATAGTCACCCCACTATCCCACTTTACTAATCAAGGTGTTCACTCAGGGATATATGTAGAGATGTTGAAGGGGTACAGTATATAATAAATTAAAGGAAAAGCAGTACAATTAAAACTCTTTTAAGTTAGATACTATGCAAGCCCTTTTGTTTTCTGGGATGATGTCTCTGAAGAAATTCATTAAAATTTCAGATTATATGTTAATTACTTGACAATAATGAATAAACTTAAAATTTTCAGATCAATCGAGTAACAGCTTGGCACAAACCTTGGTTCTATAAGCATGCAGAAGGGTTCTTGAAGACAGGTAAAGATTATGAATATATCCCACTGAAGGACTATCTCCTTCGCCACAACAAGTCAATATTTTGGGTGATAGAAACAATGATTCCTTTTGGCAACAACCCAATCTTCAGATTCTTTCTTGGTTGGCTCTTGCCACCCAAAATTGCCTTCCTTAAATTCACCACCACACCCGGTGTTAGAGCAATAACTTTTACAAAGCAGGTAGGTCCTATTTTGTATTTTTTTTAGTTCAAGACTTTGTTCCTCTTTGTTTTGTACAGTATTTCTTTGTCTTTTTGGTTATTTCTTGGAGTATTAACTGTAATATCTGAATATCATTGTTTCTACTATATACATAAAATGTTGAGAGTTTATTAACAGAAATTTGAGGTGACAAATAATTTATGTTGTATACAGCACAGCCTCAATTTCACCTTTGGGTTCCATTCCTACATAACAATGCAGACACCAAATCTGCAGAAATAAAGGCTATAAAGGGGGAAAATGGGGATGTATACTGGACCCTGAATTTCCATCCCTAAACCCAATAAATTTAACAATAAAAATCTCTAACTACAGTACTGTACTTCATTACAATAAGGATTGAATGCAAATTTTTTTAAACATGAAAATATATGCAGGTACTGTATATACCACATTAGTTCGTAATACTTAATCATCATGGAAGGTTATAGCTCGCTCAATCTTTTAACTCTTATTAGAATTTTCACTTTCTTGTCATAAGTGTAGGCACCTGGCTTCCCCTTCACACAGCTTAATTTGTTTAGAGCCATTGTAGCAAGTATTAATGATGATACCGAGAGATAAAAGATGAGTGCAATCACGCACTGTTACTGTACAGTATACATGTTTGGGGTGCTGGTGGTAGAGTGGTGCCGCTCTTGCCTTCGCAAGCGAGATGTCACGGGTTCGATTCCCGGGCCGGTGGAAGTTGTTTGGACATACTTCCTAGCCCCCATTAGTCCCTGTTCACCTAGCAGTAAAGTAGGTACCTGGTGTAAATCAAAAGTTGCGAATTCGTATTCAGGGACAAGTTGTTGGAGCTTCCAATAACTTGATGACATAAAACCATTGACTCTTCAGGCTTCTATGCCCTTAACTCATGAGACATAAAGGCAAGCATGAACTTAGCATGCTTCCCTGTTGGGCACTGTAAACACTTCTGCTCTTCACCTTACACAAGGATGTAGGGGAGTGCCCAATAAATAATTAAAAAAAAAAGTATACATGTACTGTGATATATAATGGACAACAGATGTGTTTACAAGTGCTGAGAGGATCTTAGAAACTGGTTCTCCTAAGATTTGTTATTTCATCATTTTTCTCCATGGCCTAAATTTATTTTTACATTTTTTCTACAAGTGTTTCCATATTTTATTAGAGATTTCATTCATGGTACAGAGAATTTTTTCCATAGAAATTAAATTTATCTGATGTTTTATGTGTTTCACCCAAAACTTCAATTGTCTTACACAGTTGGTACATTACCTTATTGGAGGGCATTCAAGGTTTACCACAAGGAGGTGAGGAGGGTTAGGCTGATTTGAATTTGAATTTACAGTACTGTACTGTATTTGAAATTTTTATCTGAATACCTTTTTGGATAAACGAAGATTACCTTTGAATATTGAAAAAAGAGGAGTAAGAATAAAAATTTTGGAGTGCGTACATAGGATAATGAGGGATACCTGTATCAAAATTGTTTAGACTGATGTTTAACTATTCTGTGTATTTTGAATTCATTGTACAAATTTAGCTGGTCATTTTTAGGTGTTCCAGGATATTGTGCTTCCAATGACACAACTAGAAGATCAAATTGACAAGAATGAGGAACTCTTTGATATATATCCCATTCTGATATATCCTTGCCGCATATATGACCATGGACCCCACAGGTAAATACAAAAATGAATATGCAGTAAACCCTCAGCTAGTTTGAGTTGTGTGAGTTGCGTGTTCGTGATATGCATACTGTATAACACTTCTTATATTATTGTGACCGTAAATTCAAAATAACGACCTTAGTTCTATGGAACAGTAGATGTGATACTATAGATTATAACAATACCTTATGTAAATTATGAAAAAATCTAAAATTTGCAAAAATAAATTGAAAAGTAAATTTTAATGAGAATCACTTTGACTGTTCAAACCTAGGCAATACATACAATAAAATTAAGAGACAATTGGTTTTGCTTGTTTGAAAAGATTACGTAATATAAAAAAGTGTCTAATGCCATGTTGTTTCAGAGGTCAGCTCCGTCCTCCTCGTAGGGAGCAAATGGTGCCAGGTGCTGACTATGGAATGTTTAATGACCTTGGAGTATACGGGGTGCCAAGAGTGGTTAAAGAAAAGAAACGTTTTGATGCTGTTGATGCCATGAGAAAAATGGAAAGGTAAGGTACATAAAGAAAGTATGCTCTGTACATGTGACTCCTTTTTTCACTTTTGCAAACCCCTCTCATGGCTATAGTAAATATACAGTATACAGTATTAGAAATAAGTTAAAAATTCTCACAAACTATTTATATCTTAACAGGTGTTTTTAAGGAATATTATCATGTGGAACATGTTGGCAGGGTTTTAAAAATATTTGTGACTGGAGTTTTGTGTATAAATGCTATTTTGTAAATTACAGCCTAACTTTTATTCCATATCAGGTAAAATTTTAATGAAAATATTTTGTGAAATAAAAATTAGAGGGTGAAATAAGAAATCCCACTTTTTTGCTAAGGAAAACGAGACAAATCTATGAAGTTTCCCTATTAAACATTCCCTCTGCCAGAGCCTGCCATGTTCAAGAGGCAGAGACACTGTCCAGTTAGATCATTGTAAGCAGCTTTTTGCCCAGATGAACCAGGGTTATTGAAAGGAACCTTTGCGAGCTACATACACACATAATATGTACAGTATTGTGTGTGTATAAATGACACAGTACTTAATAAAATCTCCCTACTTATATGACTAAGCTTTCCAGTATGCAGTTCATGATCGAGCTTCAAAATTGATAAATGTACAACAGCCTTGGGTTATTTGTGATGTTTTTCTTATTTTGCAGCTACCTAAATTTCAGTACAGTAATATCTCTGTTAGTTGGAATCCCTCTTAACCGGAACTCCCCTAATAGCAGGAATTTAAATTTTCTCGGAAAATCGTTCCCAAAGCCGTAATATTCCGGAAAATTCTGGCTTTGGGAACGATTTTGCAAGGGGCACATTTTCCCAGTACCCAGAAAATTCCAGGGATGAGGGATATTTTTCCAGGTTCAAGAGATGATGCACTGTACTGTAATATGCAACTTTTCCATTACCCGGAAAATTCCAGGGATGATGGATTTTTTCCCGGCTTTGAGAGAATCGTCTCGTCACCCAGAAGTCTCTCATTCCCAGAAGTGTTCTGCACCAATTGTTCCAGTTAACAGAGATATCACTTCTACTACCATTTTCCTGTAGCTATACCGTATTGCTGGAAGTATTTGCTGTGCTGATATACAGTGGGGTATGCTATAACGAACGGATCCTACTACGAATATTCCTATAACGAACGGTTTTACCTATAAAATTGAGAATGCTATAACGAACGAAACTCCTACAACGAACATTATTTAAAAAAAATTTTTTTTTTTTACTAATTTATTGTTTTTTTATTACAAGTATTAATGATATTGGCTATTTCAGGGGTTTAGATGCATATTTATGCACTTTTTTACAATTTTTACAATTTTATATTATATTTTTCAGTGTTAAGTGGTTGTATTTGGTGGCCTGGAACGGATTAATCCTATAACGAACGAATGCTATAATGAACAAGGTTCTAGAACCAATTAGATTCGTTATAGCATACCCCACTGTAACCTCTTATTTTGTGCCATTTCCCTCAAATTTACTACATGCACCACCTAACAAGATGTCTAAATGCTCAGCCGCAGCTTTTCCTTCTCCAATTTGAGTGAGAAACATTTAATTTAGAAGAGAAAGTTAAAAGTTTGTATGAACTTGACTGTGAAGTACAGTATATCGGTTTTATAAAAAAAAATTATTTCCTAGCTATAAAATATGGCATCTTTATATACAGTATGGTTTACTTCCATCTCCTAAATTACCCTCAGATGTAAGTAAACCACACATATCTTTGCCCTATGTATGAAACCGTAGTGTTATTATGGTAATTCAGCAAGCCAGGATTTTGATGTAAATATTAACTTCAGACATACCTGTATAGTATCTTTAAATCCATGCTGATAAGAAATAAAACTATCAGTGATTCCACAGTAGGTGTGTGCAGAATTCCAAGTAAGGATTGTGACTTAGTTTATGTTGGTGAGACAGGAGGAATTTAGAAACTGGTATTAAAGAACATAAGTATGTCTTTATGACAGGGAATGCCAACAATGCGGTATTTATCCGTCCCTCTCAAAATAACCTTGCAATAGATTGGAATGCAAGCCAATTATTTTACAAATGCAATGATTTTAAGAAACATAGGATAGTGGAATCAGTTTGTACAGTATCAATAAATATAAAAACTATAACTTGAGTGAAGGCATGTTCAAGCTGGATCGTGCTATGAGAGTCTTAGCGGTCAGGTCCTTGCCTGCGAATGTGTTACCTGAAAATGTCAAAAGTGACTGCCGTGGTGATGCGTCAAGGGGGTTGGGGTCAGGTGATATCGTGTGTATCCAATAAAAAGAGTTTTTGTAGTGATGAATGTGTCAATACTTTGTTGTAACTCCACTGAGGAGGGCAACAGTTGTCGCCGAAACTGTTTGGTATAAATATATATTCAGTAGTACCCCGATTTACGTGTCAATTGAACCCACAGGGTACCGCGGAAAGTGAAAACCGCATAAAGTGAACAACAGAACATATGGGATTAATTCCAATAGAGACTGGCCCGACCCCCAAACTCCACTTTTTCCGACACAATACCTATGTTGTAGTAAAAATAACATCTAAATTTTATGATGGTATGCTCACACAATTAATATTTAAGAGAAATACAGTCGCCAGGTTATGTCCATTCAAATAATGGACTCAAATCCCCCCCCCTCTTCCCAGCTCACTGGCCCCTACCTCTCTGAGAAATGATTGGGTGAAACACTAGATTTTAACGTTTAGTAATAAATAATACCTCAGACTAAAGTTAGGATAATATAATTGACATTTCTGGATTCCTTGCAGGTCAGGGAATATTTTGAATGTAAACTTCATATATTTTGCACAAAAGATAAAATACTTGCTTTGTGTAAACCAAATTATTACATTAGATCTAAAATTTGTATGTCTAATGCAAAATCTATGATGTTTATATTCAAAATGATCATCATATTGTAAGAATTCCAGCAATGTAAATTATATTCTGGCCGGGTAATTTGTATGAATTTTATGAGCTAAAAAAAATAAAAAATTATACTTCACGCGTATATGAGTAGATGCACCGCGGAAAGTGAAAGTCCGGTTCTGGCAAGGTACCGCGTAAATGAGAAATCGCGGAAAGTGAAACCGTGTAAAGCGTGGTAATACTGTACCTGTATATACATATATTTTTTCTCTTAATAAGTAATACTTTTCACATAAGATTAATATTTTATTTGGGAAAATTAATGTATTAAAAACTAAACAGTAGAACGTTGATATAACATGAGATACATTCCAAGTGAGGTCGCTTTAAACAGAATTCGCACTAAATCAAAGTGTTGTTTCAATGGAATAATTTAGTTTGGTACTTAAGAGAAACACAAAATGCTAAAAAGACTGAGCATCTACCTAGATGCACCTCTGCCCATCTCCTAGAATAAACAAAACATTGTATTTGTAGTATTATGCTAAAACAAGCACTCATAAATCAACACGGCTAAAATTAAGGTGCGCGAAATGGTCTGTTTACTAGCGATCAGCCTCTCGTGTGACTCGCCAAGCACTTTCACTTTCCTCTCAACTTAGTTTTTAATTACTTTATGCTATCAAAAATAGATTTTTACTCAACTTTACTGAGGCAATTCATCCTCGACCAGCTCATTATCCAAATTGGCCCCCCTCACTTGAAGCACAATTTCCTCGCTGCAGTGCTTCCAGCACCATGATTTTCTGCTCCAGTGTAATTGCTTGCCCTGATTTCTTGGTCTTTGGGGTAGTTAATGATGTAGTGGCTGGCCCCTTGGGCATAGTGGCGATGGTTGATGCACGTGTAGGAGATAGTGTCACACAATATGTCCGTTCACTAGAGCATCAGTGCGAGAACTGAGGGTGCGTGAGGGTGTGGGAGGGTTGCGGGCAGCTTGCCCAGAGATGCGTCTGGCAGTAATCATAAGGCGCAAAATTTGAAATAGTGTGTATATCCATATGATGCGCCAGATTGACTCGCGTAAAATAGGAAAGATTCACTTTAAATTAATACAACGTTCTACTGTACTACAATTGTGCTTGTGTTACAGGTTCACTGAAGAGGTGGGAGGCTATCCATTCCTGTATGCAGATACTTTTATGACTCGGCAGGAATTTGAGAAGATGTTTGACCTGATGGCATATGATCAAGTGCGACGTAAATACAATGCTGAAGGAGCCTTTCCACACCTCCATGATAAGGTGACCCTTTATAAAGTGAATTATACAATAGATAGCAGATGTTTCTTTTGTCATTTGTTTTTATTTGATTTTTACTCAAAATTTTTATTTTTGTCATCAAATTATCCAGACTAACAATTGATCTTTTCAATTACAGATCAAACCAGAGATAGATGTTGTAGAAGTTGGGAAACAATACATGGATCCACTGTAGAATATTCTTTCATATATTTATCTTACTATCTGAAGGCCTTTAAGCGGTCATAATCCCTAGTCACAGTAATCTATATTTAAACCAGTGGATGAGAAGCAGGAGACTAATGCGATTTTACAGATTATATAATTATTTTCTTTTTAACTATTCTTGTTGCATCTTACAATCCAGGTCAATTGTTTATTTGTGAGTGTTCAGCTAAAGTGAGGAATTACATACAAGTCAAACTATTTCACAGTTAAGCTTAGTACAAGTTACCCTTATTTGGTACATCCCTCTTACATTAGAATCCCAGTTATCCAGCACCTATGGGGATTGAGAGGTGTCAGAGAGAGATTTTTCAGTTAGTTGAAACTCACTCTTATAATCCCCCAATAAATCCTACAATGCACAGTGCTACAGGTTGACCTCGCAAATTCATTTCAGTACAACAGACTTCTTTAACTATAAAATAAGAAAAATGAAGAGCAAGGGTTTGTTTGTGAAGCTGTGGGCTATAAATGCGTGGGCAACTCGCCAGCCCAGCCGCCTTGTATATTGTTACATGTAATTCAACTTCTAAGTTTCAAAAAACCTCCTGACCTAATATGTACATGTATTTTAATTATAAAAGGAGTGAAAATTTACTGTAATGTTTCACTTTTATGTATCGATACAAATTCGTACATTCGATGGTAATATTTCTCGTATTAAATTTAGTTAAACTGGTGATAGGGTATCGGTAAGTAACTCGTCTATTTGCTTTCCCATTTTGAAGTGCAGCTGTCTTTTCACATTTGACCACTAAGTGAGGTCCATTGACACTAAAAGGTTGGGGACAACTTCTCTAGGAAATGGAGTGAAAAGAGGAAAGGGGATAGACTGAAGTAAATAAATAAGTTGGAATAGAGCTTGTAAGTTTATCTGAAATAGCTAGATATTTTTTTATTCACTCTCTATTAGAGTACTGTACTGTAAAATCTACTTACATTAATAAGGTCCATGATATAAATACCATTTTATTAAAGCTTTACGGTTTATTTATACAATGAGCCGTATACACACCAGATATTCACTAGGTATAAATAGGGAGATAATAAAAGTACAATACTGGTCAGTAGTGGAGGCTGTGTTGGGAATTCAATGTTAATGGGGAAACAAAATTTAAGTGTGATGCTAATAGAAATAGACTTCTGTTGGTTGGCATAACACCTTTGAAATATATTTATAAATGAAATGTACTTTAGTTACATCTTGGCTGGCCTAACACCATTAAAATGAAAGATTAGTTGTAAATGAAGTTGTCTGAAAATATAACAGTAATTTTGTAGGAAAATCAATAGATGTAGACCTTTAAGTATCACAAATTTTTGGGAGAAACAGGTAAGATCTTGTATGAAACTACTGGAAGAGAATACAGTAGTACAGTATTTAGAAGTTATCATCAAGCAATTTCATTATCATAACCTGCCGCAATTGAAAATAATGACCAAGATAACCATATCTTTTCTCCCAATTTTTAATGTGTGCCTCCATATTTTATAATAAATAGTGAGTGTTCATGTAGTAATATAACAAAGTTAGCTTAGCCAGGTTAGCCTTTTTGGAATATCTGTCATTAATATTTTTATTATTGTGAAGGCATCTTATGCTTTGGCACAAATTTGAAAAAGAACAATTTAGCCAAATTTAGCTTTGTGATATTGTGAGTGAACACAGTGGCACAGGGAATGTGAGTACAAAGGATATGAATATCTTGATTATTCATGCACTCAATTGCATGCATTTTTTTTTTATTTTTCAACAGGTTAATAAGATAGAGGAAGACAAAATTAAATTTCATGGTGATAACCAATAAGTACGGTATACATTAAAGTGGGAGATTGAACACCTTTGTGGAAAGCTTGCCCTGGATACTTTATAATTAGATTTTGATTGACACTATCGTACATTTAATATACTGGGTACCTCTCACACACACAAAATAAAAAGAATAAATTAATTTCACATCTAATGTACTAAGTCAAGCTTTCAGAAGAGTTGCTGAAGGTCAGGTGCTAGTAATCATTGGTGAGAAGATACTGTATTTGTATGTACATTTTTGCAAACCTTTACTCAATAAAGGCTGCAGAAACTGTATACAATACTATTTATATTTTTTGTAAACTAATAAAATACAATGGTGACAAAGAATTGATGATATTTGTGTTCAGGGTTGAGCTAATCATACACAAGGCTGTTAGTAGAGAAACTTACTCTCATTATGTCATTCATAGAGCTGCTAAACACAACTAATGAAACAAATTTGATCAGTGTCTCACAATATTTACTTATAAAGTGCTTAGTCCTCAGTGTCCTTTCCATCCCGGGAGAAGGAGGAAGGGAGATGGTCTTAGGAATGTAAGCAAGTTGTGAATATGATAATTTGATAAATTCTAGCCACATTTTATGGAGAAATTTATAACGAGAACTCAGAGGATTTCCATAATCAGGATTTTCTGTCACGTTTGTCCAGAGCGATAGCCACATGGACTGTAGTGGCAACCTTTTTAAAAAATAGATGAATGACTGTAATAGACTACCTGTAATTGTCACTTTAAGCCCATAGTCTAAATTGTTTATTATGGTGAATGGGGAATCGGAAATTGTAAAAGTTAAATAGGGGTAGCTAGTGATCGTACAGCCTGAGGCTGCATAGCATTCAAGTGATGTGATGTAGCTGTTGAGGCACAGAAGAGGAATGTAGGTTTTCAAGTCCAACATTGATAGGGACATGGGAGAGGATTGGAAGGAGATACAGAATCTTTCTTCCACTGGGTGAGATCTTAGGGTACTCTCCTTTAATAAGTTTGACAATTTTTTGCTTTGAAATACCTTCAATAGTCATCTGGAATAAACATATATGGGAGTTATAATATGCAAAATGTAACCTGCAATCTAAGATATTTTGAGTACTGTACCCTGTGCTCTACAGTACCTGTACTGTATATTTACAAAATTCCAGGGCTGTGTGTGTGGTGGGGTATGAATTGTTCAGTCAAACAATCTCCTGATCTACAGGCATGGATTTAATTCTTAATTTCCTATTTTTTTTTTTATAAATTGATACTCTATAAATTTTAGTTAGTTGTCTTCCTCTGGTGCATTGAAGAGCATTCTAAAGTGACTGTCAGGAAAAAACTACAGATTTCACATTGTTCTAAAGAATTGTTTTATCAATATTTTGCTGATATACTATCCTTGAAAAGGGCCCTAGAAATTTATGTATCAAGTATCAGTAATGTGTGCAAGTTTGTATATAACTAATGTATTGTCTGATTTAAGATTTGTATGAACGTCATTTTGAGTATGGTATGTACGTAATAACATCCAGTACAGTAAGGTACCTGGTATTGTATTTGTGTCAGTTATGCTAATTCTGGTTGAATGGATCAGGCCTGTATGTGCTGAACTTATTACAGTATTTCATGTTTACCTATAAATACTATATGTAAATGAATGAATATTTAAATGTCAAACAGACAGTACATAAGTTAATTTTTCTTAAATGAGTGTTGATTTTCAGATATCTACAAATGAAGCTGGGAAAAACAGATATTACATTTTCACTGATATGCAGTACATTTTATCTAAGTACCTGTAGTGCATTACAGTATACCTTGATGATATACGTTTCTACTGTTCTTTTTTTTTTTAGACTCTTTCCCCTTTGCCTATGTATGAAAGATCTTTCTTGTTATATAATACTGTAAAAGTACAAAATTTGTGTCAAATTGTATAAAACTCATACCGGGTACAGCATTTGATCCCCTAATGTACAGTCAACAAAAAAATATTCTGGACCTTTACAGTGTTGTACAATTGCTACAAAAGGTATCTGCAAAATATTTGGCTACACAATATGACACAATGGACGTAGGATTTTGACAACCCTACCGAGCCAACAGGAGTCACGGTGTTAATTTTGAAAATAATCGGACCTCACCTTGCAGATGCTACCTGTAGCGAGTGTACAATATGACACACCAGACCGAGAATTCCGAACAACACTGATGAATATGGCATATGTTGGTAGCACTGCTTTCTAGAGTTGCCAATTACTCTTTATTTTATGTTTACTGATATTGATATTGAAACAGTTTATTTAGCCAGAAAAAATACAGATACAGTGCTGATAATATGAACAATATTGACATGGCTGAGCCAATTGAGAGCCTGAGCTCTCTTGGGTGTTCAGTGTGTCTGCGTCCATGAAGTGTGATGACTGATGCGCATGTTCTCTGTGAGGTTTTCATATCAACTAACAAATAACATAGATATGACTGGAATATATGACTTTGATTCCTGCTGTTTCCTCTGATGCTCTGCCATATGCAGACTGAACCAGTACCATTTCAAACATATTTGTTACATTTAAAGTAGCACAAGTCGTCTGGTGAAAATCAGTGTTACACTGTTAAATAGCATTGGCATTAGCATTGTTTTATGAATATTACTAACAATTAGCCCCAGTTAAACTCCAATTCTTATCATGTGTGGCATAAAAAAGAGGTTTCATAATGCATTTGCTTCTTTACAGCAACTCAGTTCCCTCTGTGTAATATTTTATGGTTTACTACATTACAATTTTTTTTTATTGGATGAGGTCTTGTTTTATTTCACTCTTAAATCTTACTTTATATGAATTATAAGATATAATACTGAGGACTTACACTAAGTCGCTGCATCTCATAATATCTGAAATTCCTATAAGACAACTCATTTACTAGGGTGGCAAATATTCTTACAACACAGTATGTGGGTGATACAACGTTGTATATAATGTTATAACGTATGGTTTTTGTGCGGGTTTTATATGCATTCCTGTGTATTTCTCTGTACGGTATTAACTATACGTGATATACAGAATACATCGTATTGGTCACACAATCATGGGTACCAACCTTACCAAATGAATATGGCCTCGGTCACATTGATTGTTGCGAAGGCCATCAGACCCAGGAGTGCAGAACTTTTTTTGTTGACTGTACGTACATTAAAATTTTTCCAGTCATCAGAAAACAATATAACAGCTGGATTCAACTTGACAAGCCTGTAAATGAAAATAATAGTTCACAGTTATACAGTACTGTACAGTAATGTTACAATATAATGAACATACATATATTTTCATACTTAAGTATTGAAAAAAAAATTGAAGATGAACTTTATCATAGATGAGTGGTGTGATGATAAAATGAAAGAAACTGACATGTAACCATAATCAGGGCTGGATAAAATTAATTTGGGGTTTTGACAAAACCTCTGAATGTGCAAGTGTACAGTACCTGCATGTGAATGGGGCACTTTATGAGTTGAATCCTCCAGAAGCTAGTGACACAGTTGCAATGAACATGCAGAGAAGTATCAACTGCCTAGTTAATTTCTGACACTTTAAATTAAACAAAAAAGGTACAGTACCTGGAAATCCAGTTTTGACTATAGGTGTCCGAAGGAGCCATACTGGCCTGTGACTGTGGTCCTTACTTTACCCGGCCCTGCTCACAATTGAGTGACTTTAGGTGTTAAGGCCAAGAAATGTATCAAAAGATTCTTGCTTAGTGACGAGACTGCATAATTAAGATGGAAGAGAGGGTCAAGCTGCAATTACTTTTGTTGAATAGCAAGCCGATAGCTATTAAAGTTGTATACAAAGAAAATGTTAATACAGTACTTTGGTTCACTTTCTTACTCCCAACTTGTGAATACTGCATAAGAATATAAATGTATTTAGTTTCATAACCGATTGATTTATTAAATACGGGTAAGTTGTATTTTCCATTTATTCAAGTTCAAGGACCTAATGATTAAAAAGTTGATACTGTAGTAAATTTCTATACAGTACAATAGGTATTTACTTCTTTTTTCTCAGAAAAATAAAATTGGAGGTGGGTGATAGATATATGATGATAACGGTTTGTCTTACTTGATTTTCCTTTGTCTGTAACATCCCATTCCTCTGGGAAGTTCCCTTCCTGAAGGGGTGGTCAAAACAGAGGAGTCTGCAGGCTCCTATCTCTACATTACATACTGTAATCAGTATACTGTACATTTTGCCCTTTCCATTACTCATGCCCCTCACCCAATCTCTTCTCTTTGGCCTAATTGTTAACTTGTTGCTTCTGTTAGCAGCGGGAAATGTACATACTGTAACCTAAAAAATAAAAAAATTAATAAATATATTCTATAATTTTTTTCATACAGTATACATACTGTATTGTTCAGTGCCCTTTTATATGTAATGAATGAATGAATGTTATAGAGTGACTTCTCAGATACAAGTATGTACCAGCCCAGTCCTTTTGATATTAAGGATTACAGTAATGCATATATACGTATATTCTGTATAGTACTGCTACGATGGCCCCTTCACTTTGCCTTGCAGTGCAATCTGCTGCATCGTGAAATTCTTATCCGTATGATATCACTGATTTTATACACCCAAGTCCCATGACACACATCTTGTTTCAGTGGATGATCTTGATCGTAAAGCTTAATATATTAAAATAAAGAACTACAGGCATTCAAAACATGTGAAGTCACACTTCCCATCGTATATAGTGTAGTAACATGTTTACAAATTAGGGATAAGGCTATCGTAATACAAAGGGGTTTCTCGGTTCATTACATTAAAATTAATTCTGTACAATCCATAATTGGTTAAGAGCATGGTACATGACTCCCGTCAGGAATCGGGTCACCAATCAGGAAGAAGGGGCAGCAGTAGTAAGGATACACAAAGGGCAGACAAATAATCAGGGACTGGCGAGGTCAGAGCCCCTCGGGATGTGTCTTGGCCACTGGGCAGTTGGAGCTCTTGCGGTGCTGGGCATCGATCAAGATTGTCCAAGTCTACTGATGTGATGGCTTTTCCGTGGAGTGAGTACGGTGACACACAGAAGTTGTGGCGGGAGAAGAGGGGCATCTCTAAGGCGAGCGGGGAGTCTAGCACCCACCACAGCTGGCAGGAGCATGGCACGTAGTTTTCTGCGACAGGTAGAAGGACTAGAATCTTGAAAAGTGACAATGATTTTTATACCCCGATACACCATGCAGAAGAGGCATATAGGGTAGTATTATCTTCGTCACCCTATACGACCTTAAACCTGTCTGACTATGTTCTAACGCATGAACCAATTTCTTATGCACTATTGGACACTGTCATGAATCCTCACAATGATTTGCATCTTGATGAGTACCATAACAGCAGCACCTCAAAATTATGATACTGTACTTTGATCCAGATTTTGGCAATTTATGACTGGATAAAATTTTGGTTAATCTCCACATTTTACTTGAGGGGTTAACTTTTGCCATCAATATGCAAAGTAGACCATCAGTAATTTAAGTATATGTAACTGACTATATTATCGAGGCAATTATGCAAGTAGAGATCTTCTTTTGGGCCACTGGAGGAAGAGTCGAGGAATCTTACCTGCAACAACAGAGCGGATGTTAGCATGAATGCGGAAGGACTTCTCACGGCTCACTTGCAGGAAGTGGTTGCCTCTCACGATCACAGCATCCACGTTCGACTCCTCCCGCACCTCCAGCGACTCCAGCATATCAACCTGGAGAAGGACTTTTAATGATTTATTGCTGCCAAAATAATGGTTAAGAGAAACAGGCTTCTTAACACAACCTAACAATGATACAGTAGTTTAAGGTTCACTAGAGGTGTATTGTGTTATGTTACTGACTATACGTTGTGGCATTTTCCGGGTTATTTAAGATACAAATATGTTCTCACCTTGTTATTAAGGATGCGTAATTCACCAACGTTCTGCAGGCCCTCAAACGCCAGGTCGCGGAACACCCCAAGATCAGACTCTTGGATGGAGATTTGCGTCACGTTCCTTAGTCCTCTGTCGGAAGAAACAAGGAGGGATTCTACTTCTCATTTGACTTGAATCACGGCAAATTTTTCTTTTATTTTGGTATCTCACCGCTATTTTGACTAATTTAATTTTATCTGCGTTACTCCTCAATCATAACTTAAATTTTCTCAAGGCTACTTTCACTCAGTGTCTTTCACAGAAAACTTCAACTGAATCTCATTCCCTCAAACAAAAGTTAAAAAACATATCCACCGACTTATCCTCGTCAAATGCAAACATATACAACTGAAAATGATATCACACATTATATAATTTTGACGGGAATAAACTTACGCAAACAGAGGTACACAATTGCAAATAAAAAACCTTACTGTTAATCGATTCATCCATCAATGTTGCCGCCACAGTAGGATAAACTAGAAGAGAGAGCGAAAGAGAGGGATAGAGAGAGAGAAAGGGAGACAGGAGAGAAAAAGTGTTTACAACAAACTTTGCTGAGGTGTTAAATGTGAAACAGATGGGCCTCGCCTCGGGCTGACTCGCTCCCTGTGAGGTTCAGAAGATAGTCTCCAGCCGTCCAGTGGGCTAACAAGTCAGGGAGCTAATAAGTCCTACATTAGACCCGAAACACGTAAGTTTTTATATGGTTTAATACCCCACTCTACTCAAATATATCATATGTAGTTGTTAATAGTAACATATGTAATTTGTACTCTGCAGGTTTTGACTGAATAAAGAACAATCGAGTCCTACATACAAGGGTCTCATTATCCCACAGTCGCTCATTGGGCGGTTACAATCAATGTATCTCTCAATCTACGTATCCATCTACTTATACATCTATCTGTGTTTAGTACGGTAATTATGTTGCTGTGACAGCACTGAGTGTGAGATCTTTCGAGGCCAGACTTGACCAACACTGAAGCAGGTTCCAATATATTCAGGAGGCAGTGCATGCCCAGTACTTGCCAACAGTGCGTAACAGAGACGTGACTGACCACCCAAGTGGCTAACGAGCCCATCAGTGGCGTAGAGGATAAAAGTAAAAGTAAAATAAAAGATGTTTGTGCGAATTTTAAGTGCCGTAAGGTGTTATATTATCTTTTCCTGGAAAAGGAATATTATATACAATACAGTACACTCGTATTTTTAATTATTGTATATCAAAATTCTATTTGCACCTTCCTTTCTCTAGTGCCTCACCCTCCTACCCATTTTCCTTGCCCTCTCCAGTGAAAAATAAAGCTGCCTACATCACATACACACACCCACCTGAACTCACAGCCACTCTTGGAAGAAGTTGGGATGTTTTTACAATACACTATCATGTGCATATTGCACTCATCTATTGTCGGCCAACCGTCCTCAATGGTGAGGCAAAATTTTCTTTACGTACCATGGGCTAACACAAGAGTAGCACTGTAAAGGCTTAAGCCCCGCCTAACACAGTGTGGCCAATTAAAAGACAAGATGTGTAAAAACTGATTAGTAAAAGGCCTGGTGAATGGACAATAGAGTGCCTCCTCAGGCACTAAGGGGCCTATGTGCATTAAAATTAGTTTGTTTAGCTTAGGTAGTTTAAGAGAAAACAGTGGTCAGTGGGAAGTTTGTAGCAGATTGTACCTGATGAGTTATTCCTTTGTTAATGTCGGGCGAGGTATCGCTAGATCAGGCACACAATGTAGGCCTGTGTCCTAAATAACCCTCTCATAATAAATTGTGTAAGGAAACATACCCCTTTCTCTGGCCAGTTTATTATAATGCTGAAATACATAATGCATTCCCAGCTGAAGTGACGGGGAACGAAAATAAACACCAGTTCTAAGAAATTAATAACCATCTTTCAAGAACGACGGGGAGGCAAAAGAGGCTGATTGACATCTAACTTTAATTATCCTCCTTATAATGACCAATACTATACCTTGAAGTAACATCTGGGCAGAGATGGGAACATGGGAAAATATAAAAGTGCTGTACAGTATATTAAATAAATAACAGATAGGAAGTAACAATACCTGTATCTCTCACCTAGTATTTTCCCCTCCCTAGTAACTCCTCCCCATTACCTACCCCCCCCCCCATCCATTAATGACAGTTCATCACAGGGACCTACCTGAAGGTGTAGGGCCTCAGGGCGTGGAGGTCAAGGCTGTGGAGACGCAGGAGGCCGACGCCCTCCAGGTCATAGAAAGCGTCAGACTCAATTACCTGAAGGAGAAAGTTTTGATATCTTAGAAGACAGGGGGCGAGTTTTAACAGCTCAGTAGAAAGGTGGTGAGAGCTTTAATACCTCAATAGAGAGATGGCAAGAAGTGAGAGCTGAACACCTCAAATGACAGGTTAACACCGACATATTTATTCCACAAGACACTGACCTTAACCCAGGAGGGCAGGTAGAGGAACTGGGCTGTACGGAGGCCAGAGAATGCCCTGGCTTTGATCTTTATGAGCGGATTCTCTTGCAGTAGGATCATGCCGATGTTTCTACTGCCGGCGAACACGTATCTGCAACACCAAAATTTACCTTGCTCAAACTGCGGGACTTAATTGTGGATAACCTGAATGGTGCCCCCGCCCCCTACAGCTTGTTTCACCTGATGACTGAACACCCTAATGTTGCTTGGAGCTTGGATTAGTTAACGGTAAGCTAGGTAAGAGTGGGTAATTAAGTTAGGTTATGTTATGTTAGATTAGGTTATTCTATGTTAGGTTAAGTTAGGTTACGGTATATAAAGTTAGGTTATGTCCGATTAGGTTTTGTTAGGTTAGTGTGTTTTAGTCATTATTATAACTTAAATGTTATGGGAGGTAATCATCAGGTGAAATGAGTTGGGAGGTGGCGACTTTTCAGGTGATTCCTAGCCTAACTTACTAATATGACCAGTCACGTGTTGACCCGATATGACTGTCTAACCGTTAGACAGTCATATCGGGTGAACACGTGACTCTAACGTGTAGTTTGAGCTAACCGAATTAGATACCCGACTTGGGAATAGGGAAACACCGGATCTAATCAACAACTTGTCCTAAACTTGACCTAGGCATGACCTCGAAGACCTGGTCATGACCTGGGGGGTGGGGGTGGGATAGGGAAAAGCAAGGACACTGTTTATAGTCCTTGGGGGGAAATGGTACTTACGGATGGATGGTTGCGATGCGGTTCTTGCACAGGTTGATCTGGTTGACATTCTCGAGCCCGGCGAACGAGAACTGTGGCAGCTCCGTCAGCGGGTTGTTCTGTTGGGAAGGAACAAGTTCTTGATTAACTCCCGAGTTTGATGACTTAATCCCTCAAGTACGACGAATTAACCCGAGTACAACTACTTAACCCCCGAGTATGATAACTCAATCCCCCAAGTATGATATATTAGCCCCTCGAGTACGATGAATTAAGCCCCTGAATGCAGTGACTTAACCCCTTGAGTATGATGATTTAACCCGTTGAGTTAACAAACAACTCCTAAATACTGTATTGGGCTAACAAACAGCGCCCAACGCCTTTAAATTAATAACCTCTCTTATAAAATTCAACATAGGTGGTTCTGGATAGGATAGCTTATATTAGGTTAAGTTATGCCAAGTTAAGTTAGGATTACCAGAGGTTATGTCATCCTCTGCCACACAAAACATAAAACAACTTACGAACGGTTTTAGAGAATTAAACTAAATACAGGAAAAAAATAATAGTTAGTAAAATGTTGATTAAATCAGATTAGGAACAATAAAACAAATAAAAACAAATAAGCAAGACGGTGCGATAAATATTGGGATGTAAGCATGAATTAACAAAAGCGGATTCTTAAATGACATAAAACGGATTTGGGCGGATGAAGGTGGACAATAAAAAAAAAATAGTCTGCCTGTGATGAGATGCATTATTTACACTAACCTTTATGGGCAGACAGTAGCAAATTTACGAGGTTTACTTATCTGCTGTTGACTGTCACGAGACTAATATTGTACGATCAAATCTTTATTTAGAAACCTATCCCGCCGTCTTCACAGTTCCTCACTATCAATAGCCTTTTTCCTCATTATTGAACGTTACTATTACTATTCCTGCTATCAGTAGTTTTCACGATCACTATTGTTCATTATCACTATTTCTCACCATTATTATTATTCCTCACTATGCTTCAACATCACGCCTTCCCCAACAATATATATATATATATATATATATATATATATATATATATATATATATATATATATATATATATATATTATATATTACGCTCTATATAGCTCTATATATATATATATATATATATATATATATATCTTATATATATATATATATATATATATATATATATATATATTTATTTATTATTTTTTTTTTTTACGGGGAATAGCCCAACCCGGGCACAGATAATCGACCCACAACGGGGCCTGGGGAGCGGAAAAAAATAAGAGTAAAATAAATTAAAAATAGAAGAGAAAAAGACTACTGTAACTGCACTGTATTAACCAACACCACGAAGACGCAGGAAAACCATTTTTTTTTTTTTTTGAGGTAAGACAGATTGTAAGAGTATGGAAACACAGAAGGAGGCAGGGCATTCCACAGTTTGGCTGTGTGAGGAAAGAAGGATGTACTATAACGTGTTATTCAAGTGTGACCGACATCCACACAGAAACGGTGGGCAACGCAGGCAAGACGAGTGTTACGAGCCCATTGCCTTGCCTGCGGTACACAGGATGCCAAATCCACTAAACATTGCCCGTTAATGTACCTGTAAAAGAGAAAGGGTGAAGCAACATTGCAGCGAATAAAGGGAAGAGAGATTATCGACCAAAGGAGGATAATTAATAAGACGAAATGCCTTTGATTCCACCCTATCTAACGGTTGGACAGAAGAACCACCCCAGATATGAGAGCAGTACTCCAATTTAGGCCGAATGAATCCCCTATAAACTTGGAGCAACAGTTGAGGAGTGAAGGAGCTACGGTATCTGTACAGCATTCCCAGCTTTCGGGAGGCAGCATGAGCAATGTTGTGGATGTGTGGTTTCCATGACATATTAGAGGAAGTGGTGAGGCCTAGCAAATCAAATTTTGAATTTGCCAGCTATCATTGTCACTCTCACTACTCTAGCCAATAATGGCAGAAAATGCTGTATGGTGGACCTCGCCGGAAATAATGTTGTGTAGCAGGGACAGATCCAGGAATATCAAATGGGGGAGAGGAGTCCAAGGAGTTGTGGGTGGTGAACCATGGCGAGTAGTAATCAAAGTGTTAGCAGCGTACCACAACTACAGTACATACATCTGTATTATCTGGTATACATAAGTGGTGACAAATGTGATTAGTGACTTCCTGTAGTAAATGTCTCTGAACAAAATTGATTTATATTTCGAATTTCACGATAATTTTTTTGTCTTTTTATTAGTTACATGTTTAACAAGTATATGAACAAAGAGATCACTATTTTTTTTTAATTCAACCTTTACTTTTATCTAAGTTACATCAAGCCATGCTTTTGACAGCAGTAATTACAGAGTACCTAATTTTTCAAGTTTGTTTTGACGCCAGAAAAACAAGCACATTCAACTTGGTACATTTCTTAGTTTCTGCTTCAATAATGTAACATACACCACTGCAGACGAGCATCGCGGAGCAACACACGTCCTTTGGTTAATTTGACCTTTGAATTGTGGCTGTGACCTTGACCTTCAACAAATTTGTGGGTATATTGGCGAGGTGGTTGTTGTACTGGGTTGGCAGTCCAGTGGTCCCGGGTCCAATTCCTCATTCAGAAGTCAATAATTATGTGGTTGACTAGCGGTGTGAGCCATATCACTAACAAATATCCAGACGACAGGGGATATTAAACCCCTCTTATCACCTGTGTGCAATATGTGACCCCAGGCCTATGTACTGACGGACTGGGTTGACTCCATGGCTACTAGTTAACACTGTAGTTTGAGAATAGATCACACTGTCGAGGTAAACTTTCGCGTGTACCTCACATAGTACATCGTCAAGTGGATAAAAAAAAAAAAAAAAGACTTTGTGTTCTGTTCTTCACCTGGAGATGACTCGTCCAAAAATTGTAAAGTATCCGTCTAGGAGTTTACAGATGACCAATTTATCGATAAGTAGTTTACGGAGCACTAGGTTATGGAGAGCCAGCTTAAGATACTCAGTTGATAAATAACCAGTTTACAGAAGACCAGTTTACGGATACTCAATTTACGAATGTCTAGTTTACGGAGGGCAAGACACTCAGATGCAAACCCCAATTCACCATTATTTTTTTAAATGAGAGAAAAAGAGAGGAACAGATTAACTTACCCACAAATCATCAAAGAGCATTCGTTTTCGACTAAGGTAGAGGTCAGATAAAAACACACGATCATGCATCATGAAACTGACCTTTTAAAACAGGCGACGCCAAAGCGAGGATCTAAATTACATGTCTGTAATCACGACCCCAGCAGTGATGTCAACCTACAACTTAAGGGCCCGGCACCAGATCCTCAGGGGTTCGTACGATGAATATTCCTCGTAAATGAAGTTGTAAGAATTCACCTTAACTGGTTGGCTCAAGCTAAGGTACCAGAACAATATGCTTACTTAGCACCAGATAGGCTTAAGGTACACGATATTTTTCATCAAACCAAGTTTTTTATATACATTAACCAATTAATGGACTGTAAAGCATTACAGGAAGCTCCCTATCGCCTTCAACTATGGATAAAGGAAGAGATGCCCAGATTCAACGTTGTGAGATGCAAGGGAATACACCTTGGTCGGACAAATGGTAGGAACGAGCATCTCCTGTCCCAACGTGACAAAGACACCTCAAAAACAAAATAAATGTAAGAAATATCTAGGTGTTTATAGTAACAACTAACAGAAATTCTCAGATTATTGCGAGGTGAATTTTTCTAATAAACTAGCAGGACTAGGAGTACTGTAATTCTGTTTGGTCTGTAAGGTATGCCAAAGATTGACAATTGCCTGAGAACGTCCAAGGAGAGCTACTAAACATACCAAGATAGAATGGACTGTAGTATAACCTGCGTCACTCACCCGTAGTATTTCCTGTTTCATTCATCTGCAGTATAACCTGCGTCACTCCTGTAGTATAACCTGCGCCACTCCTGTAGTATAACCTGCGTCAATCTCCTGTAGTATAACCTGCGTCACTCACCTGTATGGAGATCTCCTTCAGGTGGCCAAGGCCACGGAAGGCAAAGGGCTTGATGTCCCTGATCTGGTTGTCGTTCAGGGTCAGGACCTTCAGCTGGCGCCACCTTCGGAACATGTCAGTGGTGAGGGCCGCCAAAGCGTTTCGCGAGAAGCTCAGGTCCTCCACCGTGTCATGCAGATTGTCAGGCACTCTCGTCAGCCCCCCGCCGTTACAGATCACCTGAAGAGGAAGGGCGGGAAGAAGGGGAGTGAGATGCTGTTATGCATCGTGAAGAATAGGTCCCTGAAGGTGCGCGTTGGACGGGATGAAGGAAAAGAGACGTAGAATGACAATGAACGAGAAGAACTATAGTGAAGAGGCGAATGGCGAGTAGCAATGAACACGAAGAAAATCTCAATACATGTCCTCGTATAAAAAATAATATACTGCAACACATACCTATGTTCTTAATATAAAATACCGTGTATCTGTATCTTCACACAAACACACGATTATTCTTCGCATATATCCCTATTTGTACCTACACACACAAACCAATAACAAGCATGAATATCTCAACATTAAAGTACAGTATACATACACTGTATACCCCCCCTCCCCCCCACAAGTACACACATGCGCACATATCCCTCAAGTATATACCTCTACATATCTTTACACAGTTGTGGCCCAGAGGGAAAATAAATCACTATTTACTACAAACTAAGTTACAACTTCACAAACTAAATCACAATACAAAACTTTACAGAGAAGTTGGTGAGCGATGTTTTTTGGAACACGTAAATAAATAAAACAAAAAAGTGAGACGAATGTTTCCATAAATTGTTCGTCACGGTTGATTACTGTGGGGTGAAGGCTGGGTGAAGGCTGGGGGTGAAGGCCGTGTGAGTGTGTGAGAGCTGAGGTGAAGGCTGAGGGTGAGAGGCTGAGAGTGAGGCTGGGGGAGGCTGGGGAGGTGAGGCTGGGGGGTGAGAGAGCTGGGGGTGAGAGCTGGGTGAAGGCTGAAGAAGGTGAAGGCCGGGGGTGAAGGCCAGGGGTGAGAGCTGGGGGTGGTGAAGGCTGGGGGTGAAGGCTGGGGGTGAAGGCTGGGGGTGGGGAGGCTGGGGGTGAGAAGGCCGTGGGGTGAAGGTTGGGTGTGAGGCGCTGGGGGTGAGGCCGTGGTGTGAGAAGGCTGCCATGGGGGTGAGGCTGAGGGGGTGAGAAGCTGGGGGGTGAAGGCTGGGGGTGAAGGCTGGGGGTGAAGTCTGTTGGGTTACTAAGGGCCGTGGCGTCTATCATCCTCCGTGACTATTGCCTTGGTCACTCAACGGTCACAACTCCACTCTTGATTGGTTCGAAAAGGCTAAGATTAATGAACCAATAACGGACAAGAACCAGAGACGAATCGGCGAATCAGCATCCATCATCGAATTAATGAATATATAAAAATAAAACAACTTTTCATCAGTTACAGGTTACGAGATATAACACAACCCTTGACCTAATTCATTGGTGGTCAGAAGCCACTTGTGTAAACCTGATGACTTGTGGCGAGGCGGAGGATCGCAGTGAGTGTATTGGACTAGAAAACCCGACATATATACCACTTGTATCTCTAAGTCACTTCTCGTTAAATATGTGTTGAAAGATCCCCACAAGGGCTCTCAAAGCATCGATGGTCGAAGGAGAAAGTTTATTGGTTCCTAGGCTGGTCGTCTCTTATCTTGATCTTAGCTTTTGCAATATATGTCTTTTTATTCCTTCCTATAATAACTTACCGCAGGGAGAAAGATGCATTTTTTGGTTTTGTATTTTGTCTTTTATGGTTTGTTTTTACCTCCAGAAAGTTTACAGTACCTGGTATCTTGATGTCTCTGGTTATTACGCACAGAAAGCTTGGTGTATCTGGCTAGACATTCGGACAGCTTGGAGTGTTTACTATCACATTCAAAAAATGTGAAAAGCGTAAAGTATCTGGGGTGACGTTCAACAAAATGGCTGCCTTATCTTTTTATCATTTAATCACGTAGATAACAGTCGTGAGTGACCGCCTTAGGACTTTATATTACACTTGCGAGTTCTTGTTGGAGAGACATCCAGCGTGTCAAATTTACTTCCTGAACAAAGACTCTTCCACTACGATGTGAACAAGACCTGGTGCAGCATATTTTACGTTAGTGTCTTAATTGCATGTATGTTATGGTTCTGTACCTGTATTTCATAACTAAACTCGTATTTGTAGTTGAGATACAAGATTCTGAATTTGAATTAGTATATTCTTAGAAACTTGGAGGAAAATTACATTGCTGAGACCCATTAGTGTGACGAAATACACACCACTATATCACCGTATACGTTCATTTGATACCAAGTGACGCGCGCACAAAATAAAAAAAAATCTCTCATACTTTCCGCTTGTATTCATAATTTATTGTAAATTATTCACCCAGGAGGAGTAGCGTGGACAAGCACACACACGTACAGAATTAAATCATATCTATGTAAATCTTCCACTTACCCTAACTCTCCCTGTTGTGGTTTGGCTCTCTCAGCTCTGAAATGACTCTCTTAGCTTCGACGTGACTCTCCCAGGTCTGAACTGACTCTCTAAGCTTCGAATAGAATCTCCAAACATTGAACCGACTCTCCCAGCTCTTAAAGTGACTCTACGCTTCGGCCTGATTCTCCCAGCTCTGAATTGGTTCTCCCAGCTCTGAACTGACTCCCAAAGCTTCGACACGGCTTTTCCAGGTGCGATATGACTTTCCCCAGTTCCGTTTTGACTCTCAGCTGGCAATACTGCGGGTTGGAGGAGGGTTGGAGGGTGGTTTGGTCTCGTGTGGCAACGCTGTCGGGAACCAATATCGGCGTTCTCGAGGTTCAAGTGGAAGGTAATGAAGCCCAGGGTATTACCGTGGCCTGGGGATGGTTAGTGGTTATTGCTGCTACTCACTGCCCTCCCTCTCTCCCTCTTCCCCTCACTCTCCCGCCCCCCTCCCCCCACTCTCTCTCCCCCTCTCTCCCTCTTCCCCTCACTCTCTCTCCCTCTTCCCTTCACTCTCTCCCTCCCCTCTCTCTTTCTCTGTTCACCTATCATCGCTCTAACAATCATCGCTCTAACAATCATCGCTACTACTACGTCTACTTAAATGAGTGGATAGTCCGAGCCATCAAAACTACAGCGACTATCCTTAAGGGATGTGGAAGTTCTAAGACAAGAGAGAGAGAGAGAGAGAGAGAGAGAGATTCCCTTGGTGCACACAGGCCCCCAAACCTAACAGTAATGGTGAGTGACAGGAAAAGAGACAAGGTCGCGTAATATATAGAGTACATGTTGGTCTTCAGAAAGCCTTACACCCGCCCAACATTCGTCACCACCCAATATCAACGCATCAAAGCAGCCTCAGATATACACGAATAGGGATCCCTCTGAAATACTTGTACTATAGGCCTGTATACAGCTCCTTCAGGGCACTTGGCTCGGAGGGTCAGGGCCAAGAAGCCATCGTATACCTGTAAGGGATATTTTATTATATCTTTTTTTTTTCAAACGCAAGAGCCATTGAGAATCCTCGTCTTGTGTAAGCTATGGATGGACGAAGAAAACAGATACACACATTTACCTTCATGACCATCTACTTCACTTCATGGTAAGACTGGTAGTTAAGACCCGGTGTTCATGGGACGCTCAACACTCATTAAACTCGGAGTGGTAATTACGGTAATATCATCAACATGCAGACAGTTATAACTTCTGACATCAGCCGCGTCTCTTCTGCGAGTTACTGCTCTGCTTAGGTAATATGTCGCTCTATCTGGTAACACACTCTAGTGACGCCCTGCCCTCTCTGGTAACACACTCTAGTGACACCCCGCCCTCTCTAGCAGCACACCCTAGTGACGCCTCCCCCTCTCTAGCAACACACCACTAGTGACATGCCCCCCCTCTGGTAACACACCCTAGTGACGCCCTGCCCTCTCTGGTAACACACTCTAGTGACGCCTCCCCTCTCTAGCAACATACCTAGTGACGCCCCCTCCCTCTGATAACACACACTAGTGACGCCCCTCTCTCTAGCACTCTAGTGCGCCCCCCTCTCTAGCAACACACCCTAGTGACATGCCCCCCTCTCTGGTAACACACCCTAGTTAAGTGACATTTGAAACTAATCACGTCGTATGTCACCAAATCACTGATGCTGTCGGTACTGAGAAGAACAACTGAGGGGTATTTGATGTATAAGTCCCTGGCTGTCTCGTGGGTATGGTATACATAGTCGATCAAATAAAACTCTCTGTACTCGGGATGATTGATGAATGTCAGATGAACACTACGACTCCTGTTGTCTTCGTCCGTGGTGCCATATTGTCTCACATGATTTTAGTAAGGATAGTTTTTTGGATCGATGTGTCGTTGAGTTATTGGGGTGTCTTTCACAATGGCTGGGGAGGATATAATATATACTAATTTAATTTAACCTAACCTAACCTGATCTAACCTATCCTGGCCTGTTCTACCTAGATTACCTTTACCTATCTAGATTAATCTTACCTACCTAAATTAACCTTACCCATCTAGATTAACCTTACCTACCTAGATTAATCTTACCTACCTAAATTAACCTTACCCATCTAGATTAACCTTACCTATCTAGATTAACCTTACCCATCTAGATTAATTTTACCTACTTAGATAACCTTACCTACCTAAAATAACCTAATGTATTCTATCTAAATCGACCTATTCTAGTCTAATCTACCTAACCTAAACTAACCTATTCTACATAACCTAATCAAATGTTCAGATGTAAACAACAACAACAACAACAGCAGCAGCTGGCCCTCTGCGTCCTCTGTCGTCATGGCAACGGGGAGTGGTGTGTGGGGGGGGAGGTACTGGATAGCTTTGGTTGTAGTTGAGTTGGGTCAGATGGCAGTTGTAGATGTGGTTAGGTAAGGCCAGTCGTAAATGGATAATGTCGGACGTAACTGGATGGCGTCGGACATGCTGGATAGTATCTGACGTAACTGGATGGCGTCGGACGTAACTGGATGGCGTCGGACGTAACTGGATGGCGTCGGACGTAACTGGATGGCGTCGGACGTAACTGGATAGCGTCGGACGTAACTGGATAGCGTCGGACGTAACTGGATAGCGTCGGACGTAACTGGATGGCGTTGGACGTAGCTGGATAGCGACGGACGTAGCTGGATAGCGTCGGACGTAACTGGATCGCGTC